AACCTAAATCCCATCACAGAGTTGATTGCCAGTCATTATAGGGAATGACTACTACCAGCTGCCCAGCCAAGTTGATACCTGACCTTAACTACCACAGCACCCCAAACAGGCATGGATAATGGGATTTACAAAACATCACAGAATGGAGGACAATGGCTAGAAGGGCCCCATCAAGCAATTCACACTGCACTATTCAAAACAAAAGTTTTGTTTAAAAGTCTACAAAAGAGAATACTGTTCCGTAATATAAAAAAATTGTTTGACTATATGTCTACATCTACATAGCATAGTGCCTAAGACTCTTGACTGCTAAGCAGAGGGCTGGCGGTTCAAACCCACCAGCCACTCCTCGAAAGGAAGATTGGGCAATCTACTTCTGTAGTGATACTGCCTTGGAAATCCAAGGAAGGATCACTATGAGTTGGGTCTGACTTGATGGCAAACAACAACAACAACATATGTACATGTATGTAGGAGAATCTCTGGGATGTGCACCAAAATGGTAGCAGTGGTTGTCTCTGGGTGGTGAGATTTTAGATGATCTTGATTTTCTACTTTTTACTTTCCTCTGCCCTCAAAATTTTTCCTACCACTACCGTTGCTGCTTAGGTGTCAGGGCGAACTTTATGTATTTACAAACTGTCCCGTCATATATGGCCCATGCTTAAGCAAAATGTTTCATTTAATACACTGCTATCACTGTTTTGAAATTCTTAACAATGCATGAACAATGTGCCCCATTTTCATTTTGCATGGATCCCACAAATTATATAGCTCGTCCTATGAGGTATTCACTTTTGCGTCTTCAGCTGTTCCTGTGGATCGTGTTGCTTTGCAACCACCACTGCTGTGAGAACTGGCTGTCACCATTTTCTTTCCTTTTAGGTAGAAGTGAAAAAGCCTCTCAAGAAAACTTTTCTTTAGAGAAACGTTTTTGGCAGGCAGTATTCCTATGTATATATTTGTATGTGCTATAACAATGTCCATGTGCAGTTTAAACATAACAGAAGCAAAGTTAGGATACCTTGTAGCCACAACTAAGCACCTTGAGGGAATGAGTCACTGAGCCTGCAGGCTGGGGACCATGGTTGTGGGGGACATCGACTCAATGGGCACAACATAGTATATAAAAATAATGTTCTACATCTTACTTTGGTGAGTAGTGACTGGGGTCTTGAAAGCTTGTGAGTGGCCATCTAGATGCAACTATTGGTCTTTATCTGGAGCAAAGAGGAGTGAAGAAAATTAAAGATGCATGAGAACAGTTAGCGCAAGGGACTAATGAACCCTGGGAACCTCAGTCTGTAGGACCCCGAGCCCAGAAGAAATTGATGGTGTCTGGCTGCCAAGGCCAACCACTTGGAAAGGGCTCAAAATCGAAGACCTGACTAGAGTGGGACAGGAATGTGGAACAAAATTAAAAATCATTTAAAAATGGCCAGGCTTACTCTTCTGATAGGGACTGATGAATCCCCTGAGACTATAGCAACCCTGGATCGCCCTTCAGGTCTGGAGTTGAACTCACTCACATGGCTTTAAAAAGAAAAGGAAAGAAACCTTTGACCTTTTCCACCAACAGCAGTTCTGTAGGTTCTTTACCTGGCAATAGAGGGAGAGCCTCAGAGGACAAATCATTTTTTCTTCCTGGATTAAGTTTACTTCACACTCTCCAAGGCCTGTGTACCTTCTTATATTACCAGCCTCTCACAGGATGGATTGCAATTGTCCATATTAGAGTTATCTGCCCATACCTTCTCATTTGCCAAACCTTATAGCAGGAGAAAAATCCTTTTTCCTGGGTTTCTATAATCAATCTCAGGCACTTCCCACACTTCATGTGCATATGTGTAAATTCATATATATATATATATATAAATTGTCTGTAGGTCATTCAGTAATAAACTTTCATTCCTAGGACTTTGCCGTGCAAGTCTTGATAACTTCTCTGAATATTTTAGCGTCCTGTGTGAGAGCTGTGATTTACAGCTACCAGTGAGTATGCTTTTGTGCTTTTCTTATACTATGCGATTAACCCAGTTATAGTATACAGTTCAGTAGACTTTAGTATATTCAGTGTGCAGCCGTCACAAGGAAGAAAGAACAAAACATGCTCAAAGATGACCAGTCAATTTGAAGAGAACCAATAGAAATTCTAGAAAAGAAAAAAAAATGGTTCAAATGATAAATTCAGAGGACTTGTTCAATAGCAGATAAGATGTAGCTGAAGAGAGCATTAGTTAATTGGAAGATAGATTTGAGGAAAATATGTAGACTATCAGATGATTTAAAAATAGAAACTAAATAGAGAAGATATATGTCTGATCAGAGTTAAGTATAATCAGAGTTCTAGAAGGAGCTAATAGTATAGGGGAGAGACACTATTCAAATAGATAAAAATCCAAAAACCAAACTCCCTGCCGTCAAGTCAATTCCAACTCACAATGACCCCTGTTGGGTTTCTGAGGCTGTAAATCTTTACGGAAGTAGATCACCTCATCTTCCTTCTGCGGAGCAGCTGGTGGGTTTGAACCTCTGACCTTCTGGTTACTATTCAAATATCTTATCCACTGCACCACCAGATCACTAGGATTGATTAATGGTATGAATCTGTAGATTTAGGAAATACAACAGATGGCATGCAGATAAATAAAAAGAAATTCTTCCTTAAACACATCAGAGAAAAACTAATGAACATTAGAGCAGAAAAGTACCCTTTTCTTTACAGAGGACAGAGAGAAAATGCTTATTTATACAGGGACAAGAATGAGACTAACAGTTGACTTTTCGGCAGCAACCATGGAAGCCATGTTGTTGTTGTTACGTGCTGCTGAGTCAGTTCTGACTCATAGTGGCCCTGTGTACAGCAGAGGGAAACACTGCTTCGTCCTGCGCCATCCTCACAATTGTTGCTATGCTTATGCCCATCATTGCAGCCACTGTGTCAGTCCATCTCATTAAGGGTCTTCCCCTTTTCACTGACATTCTACCTTACCAAGCATGATACTCTCTGGGGACTAGCCCCTCCTAATAACATGACCAAAGAACAAGAGACGAAGTCTGGCCATTTTTGCTTCTAAAGAGCATTCCAGCTATACTCCTCCCAAGACAGATTTGTCTGTTCTTTGGCATTTCATGGCATATTTAATATTCTTAGCCCAACCATACTCCAAAGGCATCAGTTCTTTTGCCAATCTTATTAATTGTCAAGCTTTCCCATGCATATGAGGCTACTGACAATATCATGGCTTGGGTCAGGTGCATTTTAGTCCTCACAGAAGTCTTTTGTAGCCAATTTATTCTGTGCAGTGTGTTGTTTGATTTCTTAAGTGTTACCTCCATGGGTGTTGATTGTGGATCCAAGTAAGATGAAATCCTTGACAACTTCAATACCTTCTCCGTTTATCATGATGTTGCTTTTGGGTCTGCTAGTGAGGATTTTTGTTTTCTTTATGTGGAAGTATAATCCATACTGAGTGGATTGAATACTGAATGCTGCAGTCTGATGTTCATCAGTAAGTGCTTCAAGTCCTCTTTGCTTTCAGCAAGCAAAGTAACCCTCATATTGCACATTGTTAATTAGGCTTCTTCCAATCCTGATGCCGTGTTCATCATATAGTCCAGCTTCTTGGATTATTTGCTCAGTATACAGACTGAATAAATATAGTGAAAGGTACAACCTTTCATATACCCTTCCTGATTTTAAACCATGTGGTATCCCCTTGTTTGGTTTGAATGACTGCCTCTTGTTCTATGTACAGCTTCCTCATGAGCACAATTAAGTGTTCCAGAATTTCCATTCTTTGCAATGTCATCCATAATTTGTTATAATCCACTCTGGTAAATGCCTTTGCATAGTCAGTAAATGCCTTTGCAAAGTCATCTTTCTG